GAGGACGCTGTGCCCCTGCTGTCCCTCACCCAGTCCGGCCACTGGCGGAGCCCTGGGCCAGCACGGGCTCGGCTGGAATGTAAGTGGCTGTGGCTCACAGGCTCCCCTCTGGCTGAGGGCTAAAAGCTGCTGACAAAGCTGCTGGAATATCTGAGTTTTCCCAAGTTGGAAAGAAAACACAAGCGTATGAGTGTGCAGTGCACAAACCAGTCTTATTCTGAGCTTGGCAGAGAGGCTGAGACGGGAAAATTCCATCCTGGGAATCAGATGGAGGAGGGAGGCACCACTAGACTGAGGGGAAACTATCCCCTCCCACCCCGCCCTGCAGGGTGACAACTGTCTGGAGGGAGCCCCTAAGGCTGCTGGCCTTCCCTCCCCACCACCTCTCTCATCCCGGGGGTCCCCAGCACTGCTGGGGGTGGGAGACACAGAGTCCACCTTCCTGAGAGCAAGGGTGGGGCTCACCCGGCCCTTAGCCGTGGCCACACAGTGCCTGCTTTAGGGGATGCGCGGGAGTCACCTGGGGGTCCCCAGCACCCTCCTCCCTCTCCCAGACCAAGAGCTTCGGGGCCTCCGTTCTCACTGTGCTGCTCTGGGGAGGGTGACAGCTCTGCGCTGGGTGAGAGCCCATGCCAACCGTTTCATTAAACTCGAACCTCCTATTTGCTGAGGAGCCAGGGAGATGTGGCCCACTGGGACGACATGAACATTAAACAGACACAGGGACCTGCAGCCCCCAGGAGAAACGGTGCCCGGTTAGTCTGAGGGACTCTAGGAAAGCTCTGTGAAGGGCCTGGCAATTGGGCCAGACCTGGAGAGGCGAGCGGGAGGGGAAACTGGGAAGGTCTTGCTGCGCCTTCACACTACACCCACGGAAGCAGGCCCCAGCTTCAGTTTTCTGTCGGTACATCGGCAAGGCAGCCGCTTCCCTTCTCCGGGGGACTTTTACCGGCACGCTTTAGCTTTAATTCCCAGCAGCATTCCTCACCGTCCGCGCACAGTCTTGCAGCACTCCTACTGCACAGCGGGCTGGAAGCCGCGTCCTGAATGCCTGTGTGCACAGCGTTGGGAAGGGAAGGGACTGCAGGGCCCGCGCCCTCAGCCTGGGGCTCTCCTGCTCAGAGGACCTGCTCCATTCACTCTGAGCTAAATGTTGGCGCCTCGCGAAGGCCTTTCCTGTCCCTGCAAAAGGCTGCAAGCAGCCCCCGTCACTTTCTATCCCTTCCATGCGCTTTGTGTATCATCAGAGCACCGCGGCCTGTGCTTGTCATGTGGCTTCCCCCACTAGAAGACAGGCTTCACGCAAATGTCCGTCTCCTTGCTGTACCTGTAGTGCCCATGCTGGCTCTGCTGGCCCAGTGAGTTACGGCTCCATGCCCCTGAAGACTGCAGGGGTCCTTAGAGCCAAGCGTCTCCAGCTCTTTCCACACCCAGGTGACAAGGTGGGACTGCACCTCTAGCTCCTGGGGGGTGGGGGACATGTGAAGGGCCCTGGCCAGAGTCCTGAGTGACAGTGACTTGGGCTCTGAGACGCTCCCATGAGGTCCTCCCTCTGGCACAGTGACTGGCCAGGTCAGATAGCAGGGCTCTGCCACCAGCCCAGGCCCCTGAGTGACTCTGATGAGCAGTGTCACCCTGTCCCCCTGCACAGGACACACCGTGGAGCCAGGAAGCATTTCTGTTACTGAAAGCCACCGAGATTCAGTTGTTCGTTGTTGCCGCATAACCCATCCTGTCCCGACTGACACAGTAATCCCACGTCCGCAGCTGTGCATCATCGGGGTCTCCAGGGCTCCCTCAAGGCTTTGGGGATTTCAGCAATCTGAAATGCCTCGAAGCCAAACAAAACCAAAACCTTCCCCTCAAAAAAGATCCGGCCATTTCTATCCTTCCTGTTTCCTCCCTACTGAGAGGGCGGGAAGGGAGGTCAAGGGACAGCCTGGAAACAACCCACCCAGTAGGGAAGCGAACACGCTCTGGGACCACCTCGGAAGTGACCTGACACTACCCACACTCAGAGTTGGTGTTATCATCCTTCCCTTGGTTAAAAATAAAAACAGCACGCCCGCTGTGCTGCAGTGAGTCACAGCCAGAGAAAAGCCAACAGCCCCGGGCCAAGAGGACCTGCCTGTGAGGGGACACTTCCTCAGCTGTGTTAGGCAGGCACCCCAGTCTTTCCTGCATGGCCTGGTGCCCCCAGAAAATTGTCATGTCGGGCACTAGTGTCCCGACCTATGGGGGACTAGAGGTTTTCTCAGCACTTCTTCCTGGTGAAGGGGGAGGACTGTGTGTGTGTGTGTGTGCGTGTGTGTGTGCATGTGTGTGTTTAGGGAGTGCTGTCTTGAGGAGGAGGGAATGGGCAAAAATAGCATTCAAAGAGGCTGGTCCCACACAGGGAGCCGCCCGGAGTTCAGGGGAGCGACTCTCTCCCCTGACCTCAGTTTCTTGGCTCAGGGAGATGAACCTTCAGATAAACTTGAGAAACTGTTTGGCTTGTGATGTGAGGTTATATTATCTCCACTCACATCCCAGCTCCCATTCCAGCCGCTAGGGATCTGGCTCTGTACCTCCTCCGCTGTTTAGTGCTGTGAGCAGCTAAGGCCACTTGGCCTAGCAGAGCCGCAGCAGGAGGACATGAGAAACCAGCATGCTCTTCTGTGCTGCTCTGACTGCGGGAAGGCCTGACCATTCTGGACGACACCGCAGTGCCCATCCCGCAGGCCTCTCTGTCTGGGGAATCCAGAGGCACTGATCACA